AAGATAGAAATGGTCTCGTCAAAGAACCATAAGTTTTCGCTAAACTCAACAAATACACAGCCAAGTGAATCTGATGAAGTATTGGGCTTACATCGATTCGTCCCCAAAAGATGTGGAGGAGTGGTCAAGAAAATTCACTTGATCTACATAACTCAAGTGAACTATGGGAGAGCGACGACATCGGTTAGCCACCTGCCTGGCTAACCATGACGTTTCACCGCCCATTGCCTCAGGCTTCACGGTCAGAGGAGGAAGAGATTTGACCTGCTGTGTCGTGGCCTGAGAGATTCGCACCACGCATCGGGGGAGCTTAAAAACGGAAGTGTGCGTAACTAGAATGAGCTTACTTTCGACTCAAAACTAGTAAAAGTTACTTCAATATTGTCTTGAGACGTTATTTCCGTCTATTTTGTGAATTGGCATGCTAACAGCACACAGAGACTCGTTTTGCTGTTTTGATGGAAAACTTGATCATATCAGCTACAGCAACGCCATCAGGCATCAACTTTATTGTTAAAGTATCACAGATGATCACCACCAAGAGAGTGCTTCTACTGTGGATTGCAGACCAGGAAACACTAACCAGACAATAAAATAGTGAGCTAAAAGTTACTTTTGGAGTCATAGTGGAAACGGGTGCCTCATCCCAATCCATAGGCTTAGACTTTGAATAGGAAGAGCCACTCTCCTTCGGGTTTATATTTTGAGAGTTGAACAAGCATGGCGGTTTCGCAGCACCCATATGGTGAGTTGCCTGAAGATTCGAAGTGGCCACAGCAACACTAACAGAGGCGGAATGACTGTTACTAGCTGCAGTTGATACACCTCCAACACCAAATATCACTGAGTTCGATGGCTGCGGACTCAGTTTCGGCATAAGAGGATCAGTTGAGGAGGGTTGACGTCTTAGCGCAGAAACAGGCATATCACAATTGTTGCCGCCACCGACCCCCAAAGATGCATCGATTTCGGAAACGAAGGCGCAAAGCATTCGCGATATGGAGCCAGAACGGCGATGCAGCGGTAGGACGACCTGTGGACTAGAAAAGACAAATTATGGTTTTCCACGGGTTGCAGTAGCTAATTACCTCCCATTAAGAAAAGCGAAAGACAACCGCAAACCGTCCTCGGGGATCTGTTCATACAAGATAGTAGAGAGCCAATAATTTCAAACCAATATACTATGCGTGCAGAACACAGCAGACCGCAACACAGTACTACTCGAAGGAGAAAACCATACCTGATTCGTAAAAATGGAAGCGTCAGTGGAAATCGATGAAAACCAACCCATAGGTATTACAAAATTGTTTTCCTTAACTCCTACTGCTTTCATATTCAGCTTATGATTAATGAAAAGGCGAGGACACCAACTGATGCCCTAGAGAAGCACCAAGCACGGAAAGGATTTAAGATGTCAGAAGGCACAAACAAACTAGAAACAATTCTACCTTTTGACCTCCGTATTACTTCTGAAAACGGCGTCATCTACCGTAGTCTGAGGAAGAAGTCGAGACCTTATGTGAAGACAGTCTAGTTCGGGTACAAATGATCGTTCGAATCGCAGTGCTCGTTGAAGTGCTCGAGTCGCCAAGTAGATTCGTCGTTTGGTGCTGGGCAATTGTTTTAGTGGAAGTCGAGGATGAGGAAAACGATGGGAGTCAGAGGCAGTCTGTCTGGATTTAGGCGGCAGTGACAACCGCTTGTCTGGACCATCTTGCAAGTGCTCCATTAGTGAGGTGAGCTGATCCTCAGCAAGTAAAACGAAGCAAGTCGGGTAACGCATTCTAAAGCCACCTATTTTAAACAAAGGAATAAAATCACACAGCGTTGTAAGACGCGTGCGAAAAAGAAAGTGTGACCAAGAACCTACCAATGAGAACATTTACAAAATCTGGAAGTTGTTCGGTATAATTAGCCGAAGACCTTTTCGAGGACGCATCCGATCTGGAGCATTGTTGCTGCTGCTGCTGCTGCTGCTGCTGAGCGGGGGAAGATTTGTTCGGTGTCAAGAAATCCAGATAGAAGGAGTTAGGGTGGGCGCTGGAATTCAAGAGGGTACAGCTGTCCCCAGGAGATCGTATCGGAAAGAAGCGTTTCCAAAACTCCAATTCCTTATCAACAAATATGTCGTTTGTGTAAGCTTGAGGTGGTACAACCAGTTGAGCGGTGATTCCATAAGGGGCTAACACAACTAAAATCAGGGACCAAATGTGAGTCGTTTCAATGAAATAAACAAGAAGATAAGTGCAACTAGTGCACACCGTTAAATCGACCTGCCGACTTCTCGCAAAGTGACAATACTCGAGGAGTGAGGGATTTGAACTTGGGAAAGCGACGAATATCCAAGCTCGCACAAACAGTGCTTTCGCCGTGCAAAAAAAATGAAAAATTGATGCTATATTGAGCCCTGAAGAGGTAAGAAAAGGAGACTATCTCACTTGTCGCGAATTGACTGGCTGTTACAAGGCTGCAAAAACCATTTCCCCAAACGAACATAGCCTTTACTCAAAAGATACCTAGAAGTCACGTTAAGTTACCGTGATTTACCTTTCTATTACATTATGCAACGCCTTAAATAGAACACAGCGCGTTTCATAAGTGAGTCCGTTTCCCCAATTGCCTGATGAAATTTCTTCCAATTTGGAAGAAATAAGACGCTCTCTCGGCCTTGTACATGGATCATCGCTCCCATACCAGAAAACCCAGAGTTCCTTTGAGAAGTTTGAAAACACGTCCGGCTTATGTGGCTCCGTATCGACGCGTTTTCGACGAACCCATGCGCACATCAAGTTTTCGCGCAAGCAGTTGTTGTAGGCGGAAAGCAAGGGATCGTCGTATATAGAGTAATTCCTATCCTCTCTTAAACTATAAACCCGATAGTGTATCCCACTGAGATCCGTCTGAAAGGTAAAATGAAAACGAGAGACTTAACAAAATGGCTAGAGCGGTTCCCATCGCGCCGTTTCATAACTCACAAGTGCAAAAATGTTCGTGTGACTATCCTCCAAAGACCTGCCATCCAACCTGGGATACTGATCGGTCATATACATTTCAATATCATATGATTCCGAGCAAAAAAAATCAAAGCAATCATGAGAAAGTTAACCCCGGAAGTCTAGATGACCAGCACCGCCATTTAAAGCAGTAGGATATTCCGCCAACACAGACATTGCACAAGCCAATCAAATGCATAGTAAAATTCACTGGTTATTAATTTCAACTCCCACGAAACCCTTACTGTACTCAGGCTTTTACATTTTAATTGATTAATTTTGCCGCTGCATTACGACCTTTTATGCTTCACATGTACTTTTCCACTGACTGATATTACACTCAAGGTAGTGTGAAGGCCGTGTCTGTATTTAGCCCGTGGGAGCCGTTGTACGTCTGCCTTTAACTCCGTTCTTCCTGAATCTGTGAGAGTTTTTGGTATAACAGTAGTATGTTAGCTGAACTTATAGTTGTGCTCATAAAGATAGGCTTAACTAGACCTAAAGCTAAAAATACAGCATTTGGAGTCGATGGTAGAAGTGTGTCTGCTTTTCGCGTTCTTTATACGACATTCCGTACCATTATTGTAAAGACTTCTGAAATTTTAGATCTTGCTTCTCTTTTCCTAGGGAATTTTTATGAGGCTGTTTTTGGTCGGACGTGTTAGTCAATAGTATATCCAATATGAACTTGGGTGGTTCGTGTATAAAAGTTCTGTTCCAAACAAAGGCTTCACTAAAATGCTCACTTGTAGGGGTTCCGTTTGTTTGTACTTCTGGTTGTAATCAAAACTTCGCAGCAGCTGTAGATTCTTTCATATTCTAAGTTTATTTTTCATATTCCTTCTAGCACAGTATTCTCCGCTTGAATTTGAACCACCTTTTCGCGACTTATTGCTATCCATTTGAAATGAATTCTCCGGGGCTGTCAGGGACCGGAAATGAATCTTTCTTCAGCAAGCTCGAAACACTTCGGAGCAAAAATAAGAGGAAATCAAAGAAGGAAGTTGAGGATCTGGCCGCGGAAGGTCGAAAGGCCATGGAATCAGCTCTCTGTTCACTGGCAGTTGAAGATCCAGAAAATTATATGTTGGAAGAGGGTCAAGAGCGTTCAATAATCGAACGAGCTTCTATGGAGTCTGCTGAAGTTAAAGAACTCGTTGGGTCCTTAATCTCTTGGATCAACGATGAACTTATCAACCACCGTATTCTTGTGCGAAACATTGCTGATGACCTCTACGATGGACAAATTTTGCAGAATTTAGCGGAGAAACTGGCGAACATTAAATTAGAACACCCGGAAGTTACTCAATCCGAGTTCGGCCAAATGCAGCGTTTGAAGGAAGTTGTTGCAACCATCAATCAATTGCTTGGTGTTCCAGAAAGTTGGGCGAAGGAGCAGTGGTCTGCAGAGATGATTCATGACAAGGATGTCATAGCTATAATTCGTCTCCTTGTTGCGCTTGCTAAGCACTTCAAGGTGGGCATTCGCCTTGCCGATGGAGTATTTCTTACCGTTATTGTTGTCAGGAAAATTAACGGCATTTTGGAATATAGATATGAACGCAAGTACTTGACGGAACCGTCACAATCTACTCCTGGTATGAGTCTAAGGAACTCGTCAAGTTAATCTCTCAAGTCGTATTGTGATGATTTACTGCTTTTTTAGGCTCGGGATCCTCTTCGCATCCATTGGATTATCTTCCCAATCGCCATCTCGTTCCAAGATTAATCACATGTTTTGTTAACGAACATTTGCAAAAACTGAACCTTCAGGTCAAAGATCTGACGAACGATGTAAGTTGCATACTCTGTATCGGTGTCTTTTACAAACTACCATCTGGATTCGTCATCCGTACACGATGAAGGCGTCGCGCCAGTTCATTTTCATGATTTTAGCCTTAGGAGAGTCACCTATTTTTTGTGACTAAGATGCGCTCACTTTTGGGCGAGACTTGAAAATGAAAACGAATGGCCTAGTTACTAAAATTGTTTAGTTCTCAGATGGAGTGCGGCTAATCCTCTTGATGGGTCTGTTGGAGGGCTACTTTGTGCCCCTTCATTGGTACTACTTGCATCCGACGACAGACTCGATGCGGTTGGCTAATGTACGCCTCGCCTTTGAGTTGATGCGCGCTGCAGAGCTATCTGAACCGCTGGAGCGCCCTGAGGACATCATGCTTGGTGACGTAAAGGCCATTCTGCGCCTCCTTTATGGCCTTGTTTCGCACTACCAGTACGAGCATGGAGGTGGTGATGTCTTCGCCGACCTGCAGAAAATCACCGAAGATGAGGGTGCCGTACCAGTACACCAAAAACTTTATCAGCCTCCCGAATCCACCGCTTGATTTACCTTCTTGACCTTACGATTGCGCACTCATATATTACCATCCAATTCCTTTTCACTGCTGCATTGCGAGTTGTCTAAATCGTACCTTCCAAATTGCGATACGCATCGATGTTTTACACTCCTTGTTGGTTCCCTTCTATCGATTTTTCGTCCTTCTGCAGATGGCCCGCTTTGCGTCTTGCCGGTTCTATAGCTATTCGTCAAGTCGTCAAATGAAGGTGATTTCATATTTTTTGTTAACTTTACCCCCATAACATTTAACACTTTCCAATAACTCTCATTCCAATTTTTACAAAAAAAAGGTATCCTTGCGTAACACCGCTTCTAAACAAATTTGATCCTGGATACTGTGGTTTCAGGTCTGGCTTATCATCGCTTCTAGAAGCACAAATGATTTTGGAAGGCTAGCGACTGCCCTCTACTTTGTATATCTGTGATTTTTCTGCACTGGCTCGTGCCGGTCACTATGCGCTCGTCCACCAGTATTTGATTGTCAAAGATTTAAGTTTCGCTTTCTGGGCATTTATGTACTCATCATTACCATATGGACGTATCGCCGCATTTCAGGTAAGTTATGTGAAGGTAACTATGGATAAAAGTATGTCTATGTTCGTAAATCGGGAGAAGGGAAAATCCCTGAACTGAATTATATGAGTATTATGGGAGAGTGGAGGTGCGTTGCGTTTTTGAAAACTTATTATAAGAACTTCACTCAGACTCAATGCATTTCATTTGAAGTAACTAGAAGACGGCATAAATTTTGTGGGTCGAGGTGGTACAGCTTTGCTAAGCTTTGTTGTTAAAGCTACGTGGTCAATAGGTTCTATTATAGAAATTTTGATTTTTATGTTGCAGCAAAGTTTTCAGCTGATTGACAATGATTGGATTAATTTGAAATAGGCTCTACTGAAATGTTAATAAGCAGAAACGCAAATTTATTTGTAGGCTCGCTGTGATGAGAGAAACAATCATTTTATTATTTAAACAGCAATCGCGGCTTCAATGCTT